ATACAATGAGTTTAACATAATCATGTTAATTGGTTAGTCAGTTTGCGGAAAAAATGGTGCCTGTTATCTGTGAGGAGACCTTAGCAATGGCAAAGGCAGCAGCGTTTCCCCATCTTGTTATGGGACAAGGAGAGGGAAACATATCTATTGCCTGTGGAAGGCTAAGGTGGGTGTGGAAGTGCTCCCTAGGATTTTCCCAGAAGATGAAGGAGCAACCAGGGGAACATGGCCACAGGTTACCTTCTGCAAGGAAGTATGAATAGGGAACAGATTCGCAACCCTTCCTCAAACACTGTGGAGTAGCTTGCCCCAGTGGGCATCTTGTAAGAGTGCGTGTGCCTTGTATTAGCCATAATGTGAATGACAATTGATCTGTTTAGAGGGGGAGAGAAAGTGCATGAAAATCCCCCATCATCGGGCAGGGCCAAGCCAAAATCTGATCCTTAGGGGCAAGTGGAGGTGAAGACTCTGCCTGAATATAGATGAAACACTCCAGCTCCCCAGATGAATTATCCTCCTTTCTTCTCCCACTGTAGTATCACAGAAGTGAGCAAGTGTGAGGCTTCCCAGATTACAGGGGGTTTTAACTCTGAACCAGATCAGGTGGTGGTTGGGGTTTTTAAATTGCATTTAAACCAACTCCAGCAACTCAGTCCACAGTCAGCAGTCACTATTCTTCCTGGATTGAACAGCTGCTTTGGGGAGTAGCTTGGCAGGATCTTTGTTTGTAATATTGCAAAACAAGTCTGAGTGGAATCTTTTTTACAATTCATCACTGCTCTGAATATTTGGACTGAAGTGTGTGAAAACAGGATATAAAGCTAACTGTCCGCATCTTCACTACCTCTCCACTTTCCTCAGTGAAAGAACAGTTGACACTGATCGAGTAAATTGCTGGGTTTCAGACTCTTACACACTTTATTAATTTCAGATGAGCAAGGCACCAGAGGTATCTGTTTGTTCCTCCTTTACAAAGTACTAATTACAACAGCAAAGGTTAAAAGACTTAGACAACTTCCTTCTCTTCTGCAGTCAACTCTATTTAAGAAAGAAAAAAATGACTCAAAAATATTTTGATTCATCTTAAAGACACAAGCCAATTTCAAAATATCTGTGAGAAATACTTGTTTAGATTTGATTTTATGAAACTAGGTATTTCAATAATGTTATTTTTTAAATCAGAAAATCCAGCAGAAGGAATGAGTTAAGATTGCTCATCAATAGTGAAAAAAATACATGAAAGAGGCAACTGGGCTTTGCAACTGGAGATATTGTACATAATGTGAAGATCAGACTTCCTTTCCAAACTCAGTCATTTTATACAAAAACAGAATCAAATTTCACCAGTTACAGGAAATATTTTAGAGATCCTTCCCTACTCCAAGCTATTACCACAGGTTGCCTCAAGGCATTGCTTTCCTCTTGACTAGTCTCTAGCTCTCTTCAGGTATGTCGAAACTGAATTGTAAAACTGTATTATCCTGTCATGGGTTTGAAATCCTTAGGAAAATTGTGATAGCTTTACAGGGGCCGTGTTGCTTAAATTATTTAAAGTTTAAAATGTGGGGGTTTTTTAACAATATACAGAAATTCCATGCCCAATTACTCACAAAACTGTAGCAACCACTATAAAAATGTCAGCATTTACCAACAATTAGTGTACATATATATAGCCTGCTTAAAGATAGGGAAATTCTGTATGTTACAGCACAGACTACTGGATTGCAAAATGTTGGGTTTTTTATGTAGATCAGTGTCTTTATGGAGTTGTCTAAAACACACATACTCTATAACAGGACAGCCAATGTAGATGAGTAAGGGTGGGTTAAAATTAATTGTCTGACATATGAACCAAACTAACTGAACACTGATGTGAATCCTTCAGTGTTCCACTGAGCTGCAATGAATTACATTCCTGCCAAAATCCCTAAAATATTGACTTAACTCTGAATATGCAACCATGAATCTTGACTCTCTTGACCCTTCCCCAACATATTTTCTCCTCATTTCTTTTCTTATCCATTTGTATCCCTAGCAGAAAGCGTATACTGTGTTAGCATAGAGAAGCTCACAAAAAAAAAAAAAGAAAAAAAAAAAGTAAGCAAAACCAAACTACAAAAAAACCCCAACTCCACAGGGTGCTTTGAGTATAGCCGAATTTCGCCTCTGGATCTCTGGGCTTATTGATCAGAGGCTTGAACTTTTCACCCCTTTAGTAGAACAGGCTTTCTGATCATCACAGTGTGATGCTCATCTGCACACAGAGGCTTCTGCCTGCGGGTATGATAATAACTGACATTAATCACGTAGTGCTTTTCCCATTAATGTTTGCTTTAAATTAGAAGGCTACTGTGATTACATAGCTTTTTTTGATTCATAATAATCCAATTAATCCAATTTACACAGGCAATGTAAGTGCAGAATTCAGCTCTCCTCCACAAATGTTAATGAGCCAGTGACCTTGTGACGTGTAGCTTCACCTCAGTCTCCCTCATTGGAGGACAGAAGCCACTGAGTTCAGCAGCGTCTTGATGTCACTTCAGTAAACAAGCACTCAGAACACACATGCCCTGAAAAAAGTGGGTCTGAACAAGCCCTGAAATGAGTGGGTTCAGCCTAACAAGCCAGAAGTGCTGAACTAGTAACTCCTCGATAGCATCCCTTCTTCCATTGGGCAAGCACTGTTCTGCAACACAGACCTTGCAAGGACCAGCCTTTTCACACTGCTAGCTATTTAGTTATTAAGTCAGGAACATCAGGAAGACCCAAACTTAGACAGAGCACCAGAAAAGTGCAGTCTGTGCTAGAAGGGGAGCCTAGGCGTATCGACCTGGAGCCATAACATAAATTCACCAGACTGGAAATACAGATCTGGAAACCGAAGTGCTGCCTATTTACCTCAGCCATACAGTCAATAACCGGCCAGGTAGTGAGCAAGAGTGCTAAAGTTATGATATTAATCCACCAAGATATGTAGGTGGTGAACGAGTAAAGTGATAGGAAGTTGATGGTTTGGCTCTGTGTAGCACTGCAGTTGTTGAACAAATGACCGACCGTACCATAACCTATACTTTTCTATACTAAACAAAATTGCTATACCAATCTATCCTGGACAAACTTTTCCTCTTGGCATTCAACCACCTAAGGGAGAGGAATAATCAAACTCATGTACCCCTGAGAGTTAACACTGAACATCGCATGTAGAAATAGCAGGTCAAGATCTTCGTAGGACAAGCTCGAGATCTCTAGAACTACTGGCATCAAACTGGCATCGAAACCGAGCGTCAGGTTTGCCAGCTTGATGGACGTGTGATGAACAGTCCGAGTTGTGTTTTAAGGTTACATATGGCTTTGTACTGTGTACAGAAACAGCAAATACCAAGAAAGTTGCTTGGTAACATTTTAAACTACGTGAGGAGCCACAAAGGTAGGAGGCAGGGAAGAGAAATACTGCAGAAAGGCAGTAAGAGGACATTTCTCTACATGCTTTATATAAAATACAATGTACAGAACAAGCAGTGAGAGGACACGTTGTTACAGTCACCCTAATAAAACAGCTTGAATCCTAGATTATTATTTTGATTTTAGTTTAGAATATGATTGTGATTTTAAAATGGAGTTATAGCAGCTAGTAGAATATAAAGTATGCTAAGGCCCTTAGGAATAGGTAACTAGTATGGTGTGTGCCTTGATCACTATAGGAATCGTTACAGACTTTGAATTAAAACAATGGGTACTGGTTATTGACCTTGAGTTGAAACAATAGGTACCAGAAGAGACTGGTTTTGGTTTGGAAGATCAGCCAAAGATGAAATGAGCATGGACAAGGATGGGGTTCAACCAGCGGACACAGTGAGGAAGACGATGACCACCAGAGGATCCCTGTCCAACATAACCACGCATGCGTTAGATACATTTGCATACGATAATGACTTCCAGGAAATACCATGAATATGCTAATCATTACCCTCCCCTCTTTGTATTCAAATCAATCAGTAAAGTTGACCAATGATTTCTGTAGAATAGGAATGTAAGCAAGGTGAGGTAACTGAAAGCCAATCATTATAGAGGTCAAATTAAGAAGCGAGCATTTTTATTGAATCTTATGTAACTATGACTGCTGAAAAAGTGTATAAATACGTTGTGCTTTGCACCTATTGGTGAACACATCTTTGGTGGAGCTATCCCCCGTGTTCCCCAGTGCTGGAATAAAGATGTGCCTGCTTCTCTGCATTGTATAGATAAATTCTATTCGCGACTGCGATTTCTAACAGCATCAGAGGCAGGCCCCAATCCCATGGCCCTTGTGCACTGTGCTTGCTAATGTGAGCAGTCCCATCTGGAGTGACAGCTGACTCAAGACCTTCTTCACAATCCCGTGAAACTGCAGCTATTACTACCAATATGCTTGGAGAGCTAACAGACCACAAATTTTCAGTAGTTCACATACTTGGTATTCCTCTATGGGGCCCTGATGAAACTGGGTAGCGTTTTGGTAGTGGCCCGTCTCACAGAGCACACACACCCTTGTAGCTCCTGGAGTTTACAGATTTTTTGTAGTTGCTGTAGGATGAAAGGAAGCGCACTGTCAACATCCAGAAGGCTGCCCAGTGCCACCAGCCACCCCAGGACATACTTCTGTCAGTTTTAGCCCTCCAAGCGTCTATGTGTCCTAAACCCATTCCCTATTGGGAAACACGCCCTGGGAGGGGGGAAGGCTACAACGCTCCCCCTCAATGCCTGCGGGGCCCGCCTCCCGCTTGCAAAGCCCCCTTTTCGTGCACCACGCACATGCTTCAACTGTCACAGCACCCACGGGGGTTTCGCTGCGCGGCTGACGCCGCGTTGTCCCTGAACGCGTGGGGAGGAACGGCGCAGAGCGCGGGGTTGGGAAGGGGAGGAGCCGAGGAGCGTAATGGCGGCCGCGCCCGCCCGCCCACCTCCCCTCAGCGGGGCCGCGCAGGCGCAGGGCTCCCGCCACACCGGAAGCACGGGCGGAAGTGACCGCGTCCCCGCTTTTTCCTCCCGTCCCTCTGCCCGTTTCGTATGACCGTTACCTTTCGGGCGGCGGGTGACGTAATTGGAGGCGGCGGCGGCCGGGGGGGGGGATGTCGGCGCTGCTGCCGCCGGGGCTGCAGCGGCTCCGCCAGGCCCCGAGGCACCTGCTGGTCTGCGAGAAGGGCCACGCGCGGCACCCGCGCTCGCGGCACGCGGCGCACGTGCGGGGCCACGCCTACAACTGCCGCGTGAGTTGCTGGGCGCAAAGAGGAGGAGGGGGGGAGGGAGCGAGGTGTCCCCTCAGCGGCGGCGACACAAGCCTACCCCACGGTACCCCTCGCTTGTGGCTGCCTTCTGGAAGGTTTCCCCCGGAATAAAAATTATTGTATAAAAAATAAATAAAAAATTATCCCCGTTGGCTTGGTGGTCTCGGGGAGTCACCCAGGCAGCGGCACCCACAGGCTCCTCGCCCGGGCAGCGCGGGGCTGAGGGAGGTTTCAGCCGGAGCCTGGCTGCAGGTGCGCCCCGAGGGTCCCCTCTGTCGCGTTGTCCCAAAGGCCGGTTTTTGCTGGCTCGCTCTCCTTTGCCTTGTTGCAAGTGTTGGTCGGACCCTCCAGCTAGTTCCTTAGTCATTTTTTTTTAGCAGCTAACTAGGAAGCTTTCTGCCTGTGTGGCAGGCAGCCCATCTGTCAGTTGTTACTTGGGCATGTATGCAAAGCGAGGTATTGTACCTGTTTTATGTCAGCTCGTTTGTTTCAGAAAAAAAAAATGTTTTTGAGGGGTGGCGTGGAACGGAGCAGGGGGATGAACCTTTATGCTGCTTGTGCATGGTTATTGGGAAGCTGAGTATTTGCCCGCGTAAAAATTTGCTTATTTATGAGGTATAAGCCTCGTAGTGGCCTAGTTTGCCCTGGTCTCCCGGACTTAAGAGTTCTCTAGATCTATGAAACATGTACAGGAAAAGTTTTAAGCAAAAAGGAAACTAAAGGTAGGCGGTTGGACCAAAATATTGAATGCTGAGTATAGTAAGAAAACCTAGGTGCTCGCCCCTTTTAAAAGCCAGTTTCCTACCTTAAATTAGAAACCTGCTACAGAAGCTGTAGCCTTAACATACGCCTTATGACTTTTTCAAAAATCATAAGCCCATCTTCAGGTTTTGTTCTGATGTTCACCTTCCTGACCTCCAAAGTCGTCTACAGAGGAGAACGCATAGGTTCAAAAACTAGTTTAAATTCTACTTCGGTCTTTGCATTTCCACTGAGATTGCATAAATGCTTAGCCTACATTTTTAATTATAACTGCTTCCTGCAGCATGGGCTGAAGGAAATGTTCCACTGCAACTTCAAGCTAAACTTGTAATGAAGTGAAAAAAGATTGTTAGTTAGGTCATGCCATGTAAAGTTGTGCTTTTATGTAACACCTCAAATGCTATCCTATAGCATGTAAAATGCAAAAACCAAATAGTGTCTTTGCTGTACTTCAAAACTTTTTGCAAACTGATACATTTTGAAGATAATAGCTTGAAATTATTTTTTTCTTAATCTCATTCTGTTGTAACACATACATTTCTTTGAAAAGAAGACTTTATGTTTTTGTTCCAGAAGAGATCTTAGAGTATGATTTACATTACAATTATGTTCCTATTAGGTGTCTTTTTTGATCCCTGAATGTGGCATACTACCTGAAGTGCTGAAAAGTACTGTTGCGGATTTTGGAGAGTACTACCTGGTGAGGAATTTACCGATTCATGAATTGGTTGCTCAGGAGTTCATTGATGTTTTTGTGAAGAAAGGTAAGGAGGTAATCAGGACATGACAAATGCAGTAATAGTGTATATTTTTCATAACACAGTAAAATCAATTTTTATTATTTATTCTGAAAAGCATTTTAAAAGAAAGGAAGAAAAAAATACGAAGAAAATTATGTATTAGTTTATTTGTCTGCCTTTTTTTTTTTTTTGCTTTGTGGTATGGCAACATTTGTTTACACCCAATGGATCCAAAAATTCTGCGACTGCTCCCACTTCATTTCTCCCTATTCCATCTTAATTCTGCAAGCTAGCTGTCAAGTCATCCCTGTTTATCTTCTACATCTCATCTTTATGCAGATTCCTGCATATCAGCTTCCTTCACCCTTTCTAATTCCTTCGTATTTCAACACAGAGCTGTGTTAGCTGTGTTCCGCAGTAGGCAAGAGAAAGAGGAAAAAATGTGCTTTGGAGGAGGGTGGGGGCGGGCGTGGTGTTTTCTTCCTAATGGAGCTGTGGCAACTAGTAGTTGCACAGTAAGAGCAAAGAGGATGTGGAGAAAGATGCAGCCTCTGCCCAGGCAGCTTACTATTGCACACTCAGAGCACGGTCTTTTCGTCCAGCAGGCCCTGCTCATTTGGCTCATGATAAATATACCCTTCAGATGATTATCAGGGACAAAAAAAGCTTTAAAGGGAAAAGGGAGGAGAAAAGAGAACATGTGGGTGAAACAGGAGAATGAGATCCATTACTTTCTAAATGTGGGACACTTAAGTATTTCCTTTAGTCTCATTAATGGCTTTTATGCCAGTAGTATGGTAGCAGTACAACATTTGTACACCAAGTTTACAGGATCTGACTGTGTTTTTAAGAACAGAATTCACTGTGGCAGATAATGGTACAAAATATATTTAGTAAGGTTGAGCATCTTCCACCTTGTCTTCATGTGAACTAATAATAGAAATGTGAGAAAAAAAATGGAGTTTTCCATTTACTGAGTGGGGAATGTCACAGGTGGAAAGAAAGTGTTTTCATATCGGGGTGTATTGTTAATGTTGTCTCTATTATAGGTCTTTTAAAATGTTCGCAAATGCTTATAAAAATAGTAACAAAATGTTATTTTGCTTGAGAAGGTGGAAGAAGGTTAGTTCATGAAAACACAAGGGTTTAGAGTGATTCAAATGGTATTTGGCATGTATGAATATCTGGAGTTGAATATTTTATATTGTCATGTCTGTCTTTAGAGACTGTAATCTCATGGTTTTCTGCTTTACTGTTAAAGGTTCATGCTATGCACTTACCTATAACACAAAAATTGATCAAGATAATACTGCAGCTCTGCTACCAAATGGTATGTTTTGTTTTCGTTTTAGTAATGCATATTGATTATGGTTTTGTTGTTTTTTTTTTTCTTTTGGAATGATGTAAACTGGAAAATTTAATGCTTACTGTATTTCCCATCTTTATTAGAAATATGTTTGAATCAGAAAAATAATTACTTTTAACTTACTCTTTTCATTCATGTTGTTAAATTTTTTATTTAATGTAGTGGAGATGATAAAAAAAATCTGCCTCACGTATAGTAGCATATTGTCAATGCTTCAGCTGTAATTGCAGTTGCTACAGAGGATTAATTTTTGTGAAAACATCACATTCCAACTTGTTTCCTACTGGTCTTAAAGGCAGAATTTGTACCAAAAAATAAAATTATTAGCACTGCATAGGAACATTTTTTAAATATTCAGTGTTTGTTCTTTGGGAATTATGTGATGTGTTAAAATACTCTGTTGTAGTTGCATCACAGTTTTATGACAAAATGTTCCATCTCAGGTGGGATTTTCCATGCAAAGAAAATAATGAAGTTATTTTGGGCTTCAAATATGCTGTCTTATTTCCATTTGGCAATATAACAGATAAGATAGAAACACAAATTAGTCTTACTAGCCCTCTAGCCTATGACTGTAATATGACAGGTGCCTGTCAGGGTATAAGTAAATTCAGATTCTTCAGAGGAGGAATTCTTTTATGTGTTCTGTTAGCATAATCTAGCAAAATGGATACTTGATAGTGATTGAGTTCGTATGATACAGTTATTACAAGCTATGCACAATTAATGCAGAGACAGTGTTACAGTGCTTGATGATGTCACTGTCTGAAATCTTCAGCAGCAGCCTTATCTGGTTGTATTTGATATTGTACTGTTACTTGTACAGTAGAATAGAAAGACCGTAGCAGAGATGTGTTGTGTGGAATTCTGTACCAAGTGGCAGCTGCCAGATTTGCTTTATGAACATGGAAGTGGAGTTGTTCCAGCACGTATCTGCTCATCACTAATAAGCATGGTTTACTCAGTGTGAGTAGTCCCACTGGAGTCGGAGGAACTGCTTTTGTATGTTTAATTGAGCAGTGCATGCATGACACTACTTAGTCAGGCCCTAGTGTCGTGTTCAACCAATGACCCAGCAAATGCTAGGGGTCAAGTGGAGGAAAGGTTGAAGCAATAACGTGAGGTAGTACAGTAAAAAAGCTGGCTATCTCAGGAATAATAGTACACTTTTCTCATTGTAGTTCATAAAACCTCTTTGATGAAAAAGAGTAATTGAGTTCTAACGTGGTTTTCTAGGGGTTAATCTGGTAATCCATTTAACTGGAACTAAGGAGCCTGGATTACATTTATAATACCATTGATCCAAAGCTAACATTGTATAAGGTATACAGTTCTCAGAAGACTTCAAAGGCAACCAAGTGGAAGATTATTCATATTAAAGTTTGCCCTGTTACAGGAAAACTAATTCTGTCAGTGGATAAGGATACTTATGAGGAACTCGGACTGCAAGGTCGCCCTTCTCAGTATTCTGGCAAAAAAGTACTGAGATATAGTAAGTATTATTTATAATAACAGTGCTTATTTCAGATCTGTCTGCGAAGCACCTTGTTAGAATATTAAACCAGCAATGCTGAAACTTCCCTTTCCTTTAAAATTGGTTATTGTCTAGATCATGTTTTTCCAGATGCAGATACAAGGACTGCGTGAAGTGAAAAAATACAAATAATAAAGCAGTTATAAGGAAACAAATGTGTGATCTTTTGGGTATTCTATAAAATTTTTGATTTCTGGGTTGTTCATTGTGGTGTTTATACTGGAATGATGTAGGACTCAAGAATTTTTGTATACTGTGCACGTTATCTAGGTTTTCTCATTAAATCATTAAATACTAAATTAATTTAGATAGAACTTAAAATTTACACAATATACAAAAAATAAGTCAGTGAAGAGCCTCATCTAAGACAGCATGCTTGAAAGGCAGAATTGTATTGACCCATTTAAAATGGTAGTCTCCATATACCAAGTACTTGGAAAATGTTGTAATTTTTTAACAGCTGCCATGGAGATGTACTGAGTGTGTAAGACTTTTGTAATATTTTTGGTAAATAAAAAAAACATGGACCCGATGCCATCTCAGAGGTATTAGAACCTGCAGTTGTTGGTAGATAGTTACATAAAAACTTTAGAAGGGGAAACCTGTTACCTATAATAAGAATTCTGGCAAAATGGAACATTTACTATTCAGTGTGTCAAGTTAAACATGTCATGAAATTTCCATCTGAAAAATAAATGTAGCTTTTAGCCTGGGACCAATTCATCTAGGAAAAAAAACAGTTGAAAAAGTGTCACTGCCATGTACATGGCTTTTGATGTTAGAAACTCTAGCTGGTTTTAGTGCTAATAGCTTGCCTAATTACCAAGGTATTTTAAAGGCACTGTTTTGGGACTTCTGTCACTGCCATTACAAAACAAACATGTCCCTCCAGTCACTAGAAGACAGTTCCAGATTATATCAAAACAAGGACAGCAGGAGGCAAATATTTATGTAACGGGCAGTCATCTTTGCATGATCAAGTACTTTATAAAGATGCTGTATATGTGAAAAGGAAGTTTAATATTCTTTGGTTTCTTTGTGGTCTTTAAGTTCTTAATGAATTTAATATTAAATTTTATTTCAATTGAGTAACAATTGCTTTTGTACATTTTTGCAGTTATAACCATTGACTTGACTGATTCCAGCTTTCACCCTGATAGCAAGAAACATAACAGAGTGCTTTGGGCCTTGAAAGAAAAGAAACCTTTAGAATTTGACTTCCTACTGGCTTGGTATAATACCGGTAATAAGAACTAAATGTAAAACTAAAATGTAACTTTACATTAAGTCCAAATACAGTTAGTTTACTGTTCTTTTCTAGTGATTGTCCAAAAGCATTTTAGTGGAGGGAGAAGTTAGATTAAAATGTGTTTTGGTGGGATTTTTTTGTTTGTTTGTTTTGTTTATTATGGGGTGCGGGGGTTGTGTGTGTGCGTTACTTCCTACACAGCAGAAAATTTCTGTTCAGGAACATAACAGTGATTCATAGGAGATATATTAGTTGCTTCATTTCCTTGTCTCTGTTGCCCAGGCTTTCTGGCATAACTTTGCCTGTCTGATAGCGCTACCTCTTCTTTATAAATTTGTGATGTGTAACCATTATTAATACACATTTTTTGTGGTTTTTATTAATACACATAAGTTACATATTTGGCATAGTACTTGAGATGGAGAACTTTCATTTCATCCGTAGTTGAAGGACATGTACAGAGTCCCTGTTTCTGTCATGTGCTATGTATACTGATACACACGCAGTTGGCCATTTTATCATTTTATTCTCAAGCACGTGTTTGAGATTGGAGCAGAGTAAGAACTTGCTATAAGAGATTGTATTGTTTCAAATCACCTTTCTTCTAGTGCTCATCTACTGTTTTCTAATTACATTAGTTTTTCTTCTGAAGTGTAAGTATTGTTCTTCTGAGGATCATTTTCCAAAGTCCTCAGTTGCTTGTATTACCTCAGAACAGGCTGTATCTAGGGGTATGTAGCATTTGCATAGAGCTGACAAAAGCTGCAGGAGTCCATGCTGCAAAAAAATTCTTTTCTTCATCATAACTGTGTAGCTTTTAGTGTGGTTCTGCTTTGAGTTTCCACACTAGTGAGAAGACATGTTAGAGAGGTCCCTGAGAATGCTTTGCCATCTGCTTTTTACATTGCTTCTCTCTCCTGCCTCTTCAAGACTGAGTCAGAGAGGGAGTTAACTGACCTGAGAAATTAAAGCTGCTTGCAAACTCCTTTAGCAGTGTCCCATGTTTCACTTTAGTCCTTCATGTTTCCCCTCCCCCCTTTTAAGAACTAATCATAGGACAAGGATCCTTCATTGTTTGTCATACAGAAATTGTTTAAAGGCTTGCAGTTCTCATCCTTGTAGTCCTCAGGAAAGAGTCACAGTGAAGACTGTTGCTACCATAAATGGTGACATAAATCCAGCTAAGGTGGTGGTTCTTCAGTCTCTGCTTGCTTGGATTTATTGGCCCTGGTCAGGGAGCAAAATGCCTCCAGGGCTAGTATGTTTCTTATGTTTGTTGTGGCCAGTGTAGCGGCATTCTGGAAAAATAGCATTCCTTTTCCTCACTTTCTTCCATGCAAAAAACAGGCCAGGTCAATCATTTCCTGAATATGGAGTTAAATTTGAATGCCTTTCTGTGCAGGAATTGGTGCTTGTAACACACGAAAGACTCTTAGTTCCTTAGTACTGACAAAAATAAAACTTTTATAGATTTTTATTAATAGACACGAGGCATCGTGTAGATTCTGCTGGAAGGGGAAAAGAGGGCTGTATTTTGTTGAGAGAATCCATGTCCTCTGAACATTCTGCTTTCAGCCTTCCTACTGATAAGTGGTGTTTCTTGCTCTGGCCAGCACTGCTGCAAACCTATAAATATTTGTGTCACTTACCAAAAGCAGGATTTTTTTTTTTGCTTTCATACCTATTTTTCTCACTTAGTGGTTCTGGCACCAAGAGTAACAGAAAAAGGGAATATGGGGTGTCTCATGTCTTTGACAGAAGCAAAACAATCTTCTCCTTTCTATTGTGGTGATTTCTATGACAATTTAAAATGTTTATTGGCTGAAATTCACTGGCCTCCAGAAAACTTTGACATTGTGCCTGGTTGTTGACATGGAAAGCTATGCTGTAACTAGAGGAATTGTTCTGTTGGAGTCTTGACTGTAGTCTTTGAGATTTCCTGAAGTTAGGGCTATAGCTGAGGCTCTCATATGCAGCGGACATTTAAAATGGATGATTTTTTATATTTGACTGAGAATTCTAGGGCAATATTATACATTCTTTGAACCTGTTAGTCTAACAAATACTAGTAGGAAGTACAGGCTGAAGGAAGATCATCTGTTCTTCAGACTTAAATATATCTGTATAAAAATACTAAATTAACAAGAATTCAGTGGCTGTCTGTCTTTATCACTGTGCCCTTTGGCACTTGGACAGCCTTTTTTGAAGGATGACTAAAAAGGATCAGGTTATCCCTCCTTTTTCTACTCTCCCGAGTGATTGTCATTGATGTGATAAATATGGCTGATGGAGTTTAGGCAGTCCATAATTTTTGATAGCAAGTCTTGGAAACTGTATTCCGTAGTGAACTCTGTCCTGTTCTTGAATTTATTCTGTTCATACGTGCCTTTCCTGTGGTATTTAAGTGCTATTCTGGACTTCAGGTTTCTCATGAAAAAAGTATTTCTTGGTCTCCTAGAAACCCATTGTTACTTTATGAAAATACAGTGCATTATCTGGAATTTCAAATTTAGGAGAATTGATTCCCCATCAGTTGTCTTACTACTTCAAAAAGGAAGCTTGCTAATATCTCTTAATTTGATATGCATGCTTAGGTAAGGTTAGGTTTTTGGTCTAGATTAGGTTTTTAGAATTTTACCTGCTATTTTGGGTCACTTACTAGAGTTGATGAAGCATGGCCTTTCCCACAAGTCCTTCAAGGTACATATAACTGTTAGAGCCATACTTTATTTGAGGACTTATCACTGGTGGTATTTTTTTCTTCTAGTAAAGTGAGATTTGTGATATAGTTTGATTTCTTTACCCTCTCCCCTTCCTTCTTTCTTCAATCCTTGTTGCCCAGACTGTCCTAGAATTCCTCTTGACATCATTGATAAATCTGTTCCTGTCATCACCTGCTCACTTTTCCACTATTCATGGAAAACAGTGTTCTGGGGTGGCAGACACCTTAGCCAGGTGGGTAGGAGAGTCTCTATTTTGATGACTAGATCACTTTCCAAATATACTTTATCTGAAGGTGATTTCTCAATTTACTGTAAATCAAGAATGTTTCTTTAACATATTATGGCTCCTAAATTAAATTTGCCATCCCACCTAGGAAATCAAGTATGTGGTCCTTAGTGATGGGATAAGACCTCTCAGAAGAACTTTTACGTGCTCTTGTCTTTAGCTGAGAGAACTGAGAGATCCCCTAACCTGATGTGCTGGATAGAAGACTGTGTGCCATTTAGGACAACAAACAGAAAGGGAAACTTTCTGCAGTTGTGAGGGCATGTTCCAGGAGAATTTAAATGACACTATAGCTTTTTGCAAAGTACTGCTGAGATCTGCAGGTGTTTATTCCATCGGAGTGGTGCACGATTCTAGAAGCCACACTGTCTCTAGGAGGCAGTTCTTGGTGAACTGGTGGTGCTGGGATCCCTCTAGACAGTGTTTTTTGAGGGAATACTGCCTGAATTCATGTGAGCTTAGTTCCCTTTACCCTGAAAGTTGCATTATCTTTGTGGACATCTACCACATATATCCTCCCTCCCAAGTTGCAATGCCTCAGGAATTGCTAGAGATGACCTAATGGCATAAGGCGTGCATTGCCTTTCTACAGCAGCGCGTACCTGTGCGTGAGCACGAAGGGAATGTATGTGTGGGTATTAGGAAGGCAAAATGTTCTCTGGCCTCATGTATATAGGCATGGGTATACTTACAGTGTGAGTGTACTTGCAGACCATTTTGTCTTGGGGAGCAGTTAACATGCGTTCCTACTCCCTTTCATGGGTGCCTTTCCAGGAACACTCTGAATTCCTCTTTCTAATGAGTTCATTTTATTACTTGCCCGGTTAATTCTGCTTGAATTTTCTATTGACAGATCTATGCTTGCTAGTTAAATAGTAAATTTACTGAGCTATGCTGAGTTTCTGGATCTTGCACTAACTTTTAATTCCAAGATGATGAGGAAGCTGAAGATCTATGACTTTTGCCAAACAGAACAGCATGTAAGCAGTTTTATACACTGCATTTTCATGTATACATATGCAAAGGCTTCATGTATTCAGTGTTCCTTTTGTTTAGTAGTTTCATAACAGCTGTTTGTGGTGTTGTGTTGTTAAGGTGCAGAAGGATCAACATTGATGTCATACTTTTCAAAAAACCAAATACAGGCGCTGAAGCCAAAAATAACATTCAGCACATTAAGGGACTTGCAGTGTCCGGTGTTACAAAGTAATGAACTACAAGGAAAGCCAGATGAGTCTTGCAGTACGGAGGAGCTGTTTGAATGGCTAGGTGCTGTCTTAAATCAAGTTAGCTTGTAAGTATTCCGACGTGTTTGGTCTTTAAATACATTTTAAGTAAGAAAAGCCACAATAAGGAAAACTTAAATAAGAATTAAGACAGTTCTGTTAAGTGGGAAGTCTGTTATGCACTTAAGCGTTTGTTTTAAGTCTTGAATAATTGATCGGTGTTCTTAGCGGTACCCATGTGTACTGGTTTTGGCTGGGATAGAGTTAATTTTCTCTGTAATAACTGAAGTGGTGCTGGGCTTTGGATCTGTGACCAAAACAGTGTTGATAACACAGGGATGTTTTGGCTATTGCTGAGCAGCACTTGCACAGCGTCAAGGCCTTTTCTGCCTCTCCCGCTGCCCTGGCAGCGAGCGGGCTGGGGGTGGGCAGGAGGCTGGGAGGGGACATGCCACCACAGCAGACCCCAGCTGGCCAGAGGAGTGTCCCACGCCGTGGGGTGGCAGGCCCAGCAATAAAAGCTGGGGGAAGGAAGGGCAGGAAATGTTCAGAGTTACAGCGTTGGTCTTCCCAAGTCACAGACATGATGAAGCCCTGCTTTCCTGGAGATGGCTAAACAGCCACCTGCTGATGGGAAGTAGTAAACTAATTCCTTATCTTGCTTTGCTTTTGTGTGCAACTTTGGTTTTACCTAGTCAATTGTCTTTATCTCAACCCATGTGTTTTCTCACTTTTACCCTTCCAATTCTCCATCACACTAAGGGGGGGAGTGAGTGGGTGGCAGCTGTGTGGTGTTTAGGTGCTTACCAGGGTTAACCCACAGCACCGTGACATCTTGTGTATTGCTCAGCAATTAGTTGCTTCAATGTTCATTTAGATGATATACATAGATACTACTTGTTTGGTACAAGCTTTCAATACTAAGACTTCCTGTAGATGATTTAAAATACATCTGTTGGGTTTTGTTTTCTTTTGTGTTTTGTTTTCTTTTTTTCCAGAGACAACAATTCGTCTAGCTTCTTATCAACTTATTGCTGTCCTCAGCCCAACACAATGGTGGAAAAAGCTTTTCTATGCACAATCACAGGCTTTATAATTCCTGAGAAGATAATTCAATTATTGGAGCAGCTGTGGTAAGGGCCAACAGTAGCACATTACTGAAACATTTGTACTCTTAAACACTTTTGAAATAACTTTTAAATACTTCTTTTTGGTAGTGTTGTTGGGGGTAAATAGCAAAATATACAACATTAAGAATTTTTTTAATTGGGAAGTGAGCTGGAAGCTCAACATCAGTATAAAAAAAGCAATAAACAATTTTGGATACTTCAAATTTGAAAATGCCTGCCCTGTATTCTGGTAATGACTTTACTTTTTATCTTAATTTCTAGGAAACAGTGGCTTTACTGAGCTCCTACATTTTTCAAATTCCCCCTGTCTATGAAAATCAGATGCCCTCGTATATGTCTGACAGTATTTTTAACTACTGATGGAAAATATAATTGAAATTTCTTTGATACCAAAAAGAGTATCACAAGGTACTTCAAGGTTATTACAGCATTACAATAAATTAACTTATAGTGAGTTTTCTGAATCGGGTGTTGTAACATGGGACACTGGATAGTGATGAACAGGGTAGCTGTCGTTCTCGTTCAGTACCAGACTACAAAATACTCGTGTGTCACGGATCAATGTGGTATCTCTCTGTATTGTATATTACTGCCACTGATAGAATATCCTGGAAGCTCCTTGCTGCATGTGTAAGACGGTGCTTGAAGTGGCTGGTGGTCAGTGATTGTAGCACTGACTCATTACAGTATTGCTGTTGCTTTATCTGGAATATGATCATTACTCTTTGAGCAATTTTCAAGTCTCGTGCAGAAAGCTTCCCTAGGCTAGGGTTGGAACATGAATTTCCTTGGATTTTATTCTTTACTGTTGTGGTTTAAACCTGTCTGACAGCCAAACACCATGCAGCTACTTGCTTACCCTCCACCCTGGAGAATGGGGGAGAGAATTGGAGGGATAAGGAGACTCATAGGTTAAGACAAAAACAATGTAATAATTGAAATAAAATTAAAATAATGTTGATAATAGAAAACGCAAACAAGTAACACACAATGTGATTGCTCACCACCTGCTGACCGATGCCCAGCCCGCTCCCGGCTAGTGATCCCAGAGAAGAGAGATTCCTGAAACCACAATCCCAGAAGCCGGAGTGAGCTTCCTGATCAACCCTCATCAATATACTGAGCATGACACTGGATGATCTGTAATATTCCACTGGCCAGTTTGGGTCCGTTGCTCTGCCTCTGCTCCCGCCCAGCTTCTTGTGCACCTGTGCACTACCAGGACATGGGAAGTTGAAAAGTCCTTGATTTCTTAGCAACAACTAAAAACATCAGTGCATTATCAACACTCTTCTCACATCAAATCTCACATTGAATCCAAAACACAGCTCTATTCTAGCTACTAAGAAGGGGAAAAAAAAAATTAGCTGTATGCCAACCTAAACCAGGACATCTACTTAAGAGCAGTAGATAATGTCTGGCTTGGATTATTTGTAATCCATTTCCTTTCTGGTGGTAAAAGTATTTGTGTCAAGCATAGCCTGACTATGTTTCTTACTCTAATGCCTTTTTTGCCATGGTAGCAAATGTTCTCAGAAAATGTTCTGTTTTCTGAAAGACAATGCCTGCTGTAGGAAACTCAGAGCAGCTACTTTGCAACTTAGAACTTTTTCTATTTGCTGTAATTTGCAGGTTTGCCATGTCTAAAAGTATGGTAAGAATAATCAAGAGTCAATCTGATTTAATTTCATAATGTATTCTGGCAGAATATTTTCTTTTGAATTTATTTATTATGTACTAAAGCAGGTTTTTTGAAGTGTAAATTATAAATTTTCACTGAAGTGCCTGTGGTGTGTTTTGGTTTTTTTTTTTTTTTTTTTTTTTGTTTGTTTGTTGTTTTTTTTTTTTTTTTTACTTTATATTGTATACTTGAACATGCTGTCCTATTCCGTTATAATTATTGATTACCTCGTCTTCTTCCTTGCAGCTGCTATTTTGGTGAACCAAAACTGGCACATTGGCTGACCTTAACTGTGCATGGGTTTGCAGACAGCCCTGTTTCCTGGAGAGAAAGTGAACATGGTTTCCACAAGGGAGGAGAGAACTTGTACAACTTTGTCATTTTTAGAAATCTGGACTACTGGCTTCAGATGGCTGTAGGAACGAATGATGATTGTCCTCCATAAAGCTACATCTACAGAAGAAATTTTCTAGTAATCCCGTGTTACTGCATAGAAACCTAATAAGATAGTTTTTATAAAGGTAATTAGGTAACAAGTTAAGTACTAAGAAGTTGTATATGTTTTTCCATTATTTATAACACTTAAAGGATGACCTACAATCAAAGGAATGGATTTTTGTTTCTTTGCTGTTACACAGTGCCTTCTGGAAGACTTCACTATTCTAGCTTTAAGAAAAAGATACGGTTTTGAGAGTTTAGGTTCTCAGAAATTGACTGTAGGTGGTTTCCTTTTATCCAAGAGTAATTTTGGAATTTGAAAGCTAGTTTTACAGATTGCTAGCTAAAATATTTGGGATGAAAGCTCATTTTGGGATTTAGCATTTTCTTTCTTTACATTAAAGATCTGTAAAACCTTCAAATTCATGTTTAAGACATTTCAGCCTACATGCTGGCAAGTAAAAAAGGGAGAAGTGTTCTCTATAATTTGGTAGGGGGGAGGAGGAAGAAGGTATGGAGAAGGAGGTATGTAACACTGGGAGGAGCACTCATTAAACATGGAAAAAATAAAGGTTTACTGACATGCCTTTTGGATTTCACAGATCACAGTTGGTTGTCAGGAAGAAGTTGATTTTTAAATGATGCAAAGGGCTGCTGCTTGCTTACTTAATTGACCTACACACATTCACACCCCCACCCCCACCAAATCTCTACTTTTAAAAGTAGCTTGTGGTTCTTGCTTACAGAACAACTCCTGGAGCTAAGATTTCACTGTCACGTTATTGCAGACACATTTCTGGGAAGAAAGCTATGGACATACCTTCAAACAATGCAGTTGAAGTGAAACAGGTTTCGTTAACAGCTGTAATGCTCAGAGTGTAGGCAGCTATAAAGAATGCAGGTTAGTTCCTTCTGAAATCCATGAAAGATTGGATGGGGGATGGGGGGAATGGGTGTTACTTGTTTTTGGGTTTTGTCTTTTTTTTTTTTTAATGCAGTGGGTATGTATCACTAAAGTACCAGTGCAGTGCTAAATGGAAGTTGTTCACCTGATGGAGTAAGAAATTGGTGGAATTTAGGGCATAGCTGTAATGGAAACATCAAGTTCACCTCTCAGGGTGAAAAACACAGAAAAACAGAATTGCCATAGGAAGCAGTTTAACTTTCTTTTTTACCTGTTTATTGGTTCTATTCACTGAGGAGAATTATCCTGGACGATTTACTGGATTGTATTTGTTTGTCATACACCTCCACTAAACATAGCCCCTTGTGCTCAAGTTTTGTTACATGTTTCACAAACACAACTCCGCCGAGTCAGCAAACAGTTTTCTAAGTCATTACATTGTTTTTCAGAATTACCTTGCCATGAGATGCTTCTAGTAGATCACCGGGAACAGCAATGCCACCTTGTCACATGTACAGACATAGACTCACACAATCACAAACTGAATGAACAAGTCTGGGGAAGTTCTTGGCTTCACACTTGACTAGTAAATACTTAACATGGCTGGCTCAAACATTATGTTCCATTATTATGCATCAGTGTAAATGGCCTCAGTTGTTGGCTGAAGTCTGCTTTTGAAAGTGTGTGTTGAGGGATTATGCCATGCATCAACTTTCACAAAAGAGACTGGTAACCAGAAGTGTCATCCTCTTTCCTCTTGATCAGAAAGTCTCTTAAAAACTCGGGCTTTCCAGGAAGTTACACGTGCAGCAAAAGTTCTAATGCAAAGTTAAAAATCAAGTCTCTCTGAAAAGTTGCATGAAGTTTGTAGCTGCTCGGGTGAATGTGTTCATCTTTCTGTTAGATTCTCACAAAACTTTTTCCCTGGTATGTGTATACATGTACACCAACAAGTGTAATATATACTGCTTGGGAGGGGGGAAAAACCCCCAAACATCTAGAAGAATCTTCTGCTGGTGGGTTTGTTTTCCATATTAACTGAGAGAAAGGAGTGAAGTCTTACGCCTGTGCTTCATAATGGTCACAGCAGGCAGGAGCACAGCAGCTATTGGCTTTGGCTCTGAAATGGCAGCAGTAGGATCAGGTGAAGAGATTTTTCTAATTGGCACCTGGTTGCAGAGCACCTTGGGATCGTTGAAGTAGCAGCTGCTGGTGGGTACATGGTGATAGCCTTACTGAGATGATTCTGGAAGGCAAGCTGAGAAGCAGGCATTGCAGCTCTTAACAGTTCTCCTCCGCATGTGAGTATTAAAGTTAATCTTTTATGGATATATCTAGGGAAATCTCGTCAGATTGGTCAACAGCTCCCTTTGCCTCCTATCTACATAGGCAACAGACTAAATGTTTCTCAAAGCTCACTGTTGTAGGCAGAGTTGTAGGCAGCGTTTGGCCGCTTCCTACAATCCCTAGTTGTCTTCTGGGGGTTGTTTCAAATGGCTTTTCCAGGTAAGGAATGGATTAAAATACTGTCTCTGAATCTTCTATATTGAGATGCTGAGTTGGTTTCTAGCTTTTCTCTGTTTTCTTTAAAACTGTACAAATGATCATTGAAAACTTTGTGCTGTTAATAATCACTGCAGTTGGTCTGCTCTTAGACTCTGTGAGATGATGCTGCATTAACCAGATCCGTGCCTTCCTAGTGAGGTCCAGTGTTGTGGCTGCTTCTTAAGAGGCAGGCTTTCCTCTGCTTGCTGGGCTTTGTAGTTGCACAGAAGAGAAACTGGAGTGGAAATGTCTTCTTTCTCACCAGCTGCAAACAGCTGTGATGTGAGAGAAGACTTTCCTGGGATGAGGGGCAGCAGCTTGTTCTCTACTCTCTGTAAGGACAGACATACTACTGTGTCTCCTCAGGAGGCTCCCAAGCATAGGGGAGACTCTTGCTGAGGGAAGGCATTGCTCAAGTGCTTGGGGAACAGGTTAGGAGGGAAGATAGGGGATTGGTCCAGGTGGGCAGTAATTCAAGGAAGAATTGGGCAGGGCACATGAGATGGTGATAGAAGTTTTTGCCTGAAAATGAAAGATGGCTGCTGGTGGTGTTCTTGCCCTTCGTGCCTGCCTATGAGGGAAGATGGGAAAATGCAAAAGGTTTGGGAGAGCTGCAAAAGTAATGGAGAGCAGCTGTGCACCAGCTGCTTCTGAGATCAAAGGACTGAGTGCTTACTAAGAAATTTTGCTGCTGGGGAGTGTTTTATCTAACATGGGGAAGGAGAGCCAAATACCTGAATGCAGAGACAAGCCTGGGGGAAGCTGGTTGTGTGAGGAGTAGAGATTTTTGTTGTCCTGGTATGCAGACAGACAGTGATAAGACGCTCCTTGAGATTTAGGGAACTGCTCTGCTTTAACTTCAGCCCTTCTACGGAGCTGTGCATTCCTGCCTCTTCACTGGTGGAAGGAAAGGGAATTTTGTTGAGAGGCAGTTGGATAGCGTGTGTTATGCAAAATCACTCTGAATAGAACATATTTCCTTTTTGGTTTGCAAATGCTGACTGGGTCAGGAAGCTGCCTGGAGAAATAAAGGTATGTGTCCCATAATGGCAAGAATCAGAGCCTAACTGGTAATAGTATTTTGTGTAAGGAAGGGAATATTGGCATGGAGGAGTCTGAGAAAGTTAAGCAGTAAGGATGAGAAAAAGGAACTTTCACTGTCAGATCCTAGAGAGGCTCCCTCCTTTGCAGAGGGAAAGCAGCAAGATTTGGCACAGCTTTGATCTGGGGAATGCAGGAGAGACAACAGTGAGTGCTAATCTAAGGCTCCTTGAAAGAGAGGTGACAGGGCTTAATGGAAGGAGCTTTGTTTTGGCTGTGTCATGCTGTCGTTTACTGGGGAATATCTATTTTGGAGAGCCTAGCCAAGATGTAAAGTTGGATGTCTGGAAAAAAGCCAACAAGAAAACAGGTTCATACATCATCAGCCTGGGGATTGCATAGCAGTCGTGGGAGTGAGGGAGATTGCTCAAATATGGGCTATAATGTTTTTGTTGGAAATAACTTGTGTGTTTTTATCATCCTTTTCTACAGACTGCCTCTTTTTGGTTTATCTGTAGGGTTTCTGAGAGTCTTACAGAAACCCCAAAGATTTAAAACTGCCTTGAGATAGGTTGGGTGATGCTGATATTGCTGTTAATTGCAATTAGCAGTTGGGCTGCTCACCCAATGCTTCAGAGCCAGTGTGGAGTTTTGCACATGCAGAGAGCTCCCCTGCTACAACGACTGCAAAAACAAATGGTAAAGCAGACGAAAGGTAAAAAGGAAGACAGGAGCTTAGAGAGATATTTCTTTTCCCCCTCTCATGGGAAGTGCCTGGCCAATCGGTGACTGATCTGGGATTAGAATGAAGGCTTTTGGTAGCTAGTCCAGTACTCTTGCTACTGGGTTATAGTTCCTCTGATGCTGTTAATTAAAGATTAATGCATGCAGTTGACTCTGTCTTTAATATTTCTTTGTGGTAGCTGTACTGGAACATGCTTGAACTGTTTATCTGAATCATTTTTATTCACAGTGTTTAAAGAGCAAAACCAGAGACTAATTCAGTTGGTGGGCTATTAAGTAACCACCTTCTGGATATGACCAAGAATTTCAAAAAGGTCTAAGGTAAACTAAGGCACGTCTTCATAAATGAGTGGCTTCTGTTACATCCTTGGAAGCAGTTTCCAGCACTGCTTAAAAATGTTTGTTTTAATACAGCCATATATGGGAGCAAAAAGGGGGAGCTAAAGTGACCCGAGCAGTTTTCAGCTTTCCAGAGAGCAAGGTGCAGGGTGCCTTGGATGTGCCAAGTTTCTTGTAGCTGGCTTTATTGGAACAATTTAGTTGGCTTTAGTTGTTAGAATATGGATATTTTTTACTTGGATAATTGAAGAATATCCTAAGCAGTGGTATATCCTGTTCTGTCCCCCCACTGTAAAATACGGATAACAATTGATACTAATATTATTGTTGTTAATGCCTAAGGCAGATGTCTAGGTTCCGTAGATACCAACAATCTTTCTGCTTCATCTGCCAGTAGGGTTGCAGAGAATGCAAAGGGACTAAGTTCTATTATGTGATTGCAGGTGAAAAATAGCATGTTTATTGGTTTATCATGAAGACAAGTATTTCTAATCTTTGTCACGGTTGAAGTTTGTAGCTTGCTTTGGTGCTACCAAGTCAAGTATGCATTTTTAAAAGGGTATAGCTTAAAAGGCTCTATGGGAAGCTAGTGCTATTGCACTGCAGTTTTCAAGTTTTTGTAGTCTGGCATAGGATAAAAACCTTACTGAACGAGGTACCACACTGCCATTGGGACAGCACCAATTACAGTTTATGAAGATAGTTTTCTTCTTTGTTGTTGAATCAAATTAAGGGTTTAAATGGTCAGCTTTTGCAGGGCAGGCACAGAACCAAGCAGTGATACATTGGTTCTTGAGTCTTTTACGGTTAAATACTAAATCCAACTTTAGAGCTCTTGGTATCAGAATAAAATGTTGTAGCCCCATAAACTTATTTAAATGTGCTCAAATATTTTTATAAGCTTTACGACAGCTGGCTATCATTTGTTCTCCTCTAGTTGGCATAATGCCATATCATGTACTTGTGCCTGATTTGACAGAAAGGTGGTTGGGTGTTCTGGATGTCACTGAAATT